GAGGCTGTGGGTAATGGGAGGAGACAGAGCTCTGCAGACCTGAACAGGGGTTAAGGAAAATGTGGTGGGCAGTTAGAACAGGGAGGATTGGCAGGGTTTGAATACCACTCCTGAGCCTGGAAGGTGCATTTAATGGGACTGTAAAACTCCCCAGCATCGTACCTTGGGATAAATTATAGCTCACTCTCAGCGTCACCTTTCTGCGGTACTTACTGCCATTATGTGCTGGCAGTTCAGTGGGCTACAGAGCTACCAATATACATTTGACAAACACTTCTACACATTTTTTTCTTTTGATGGCTACAAAAATGGGGCAAAATGAAAAAAAAAAAAAAAAAGCTTATTTTCAAATTGCTACAAAATGCCCTAAAATAATGAACAATTTTGAATGTAATATAATTTAAAGCAATAAATTTTGACCTATGAGCTATTTATGTTGTGATCTGTTTTTTCTATTGTTCATAACCAAAGTAATTTATCTAAAACAAAAAGGAACGTAAACTGTATCTATCTACTATTATTCATGTCCAACAGAACAAGAGGTGAGTTGGGACATAGCCTGTTCCTTAGAGCTGACTGGTCTATAATTTTAAGCCTTAAATCCTGTAATCAGGTTCAGTAGTACAGCCCTGCACCTGCAGAAAGCCTTGCTGGTCTGCTAGCAGCAACCCATGAGGTACCAGATCCTCCTGGAGAATCTAAAGATTTAAGCTAAACAAAATTTGGTTTCAGAATGAAAGTTCATTCTCTGCTTATATTCGGAAAATATAAAAGAAAGCACAGGAAAATTCATACATTAGGTCTGTGATATCATTAAAGTCAATGGAGTAATTTCAAATTAGTAATGACATAAAAGGAACCTGAACTTGGCCTTTAAGGTTATATTCTATTAGTTTGCTAGCACAGTGTAAATTCTATATTTAAAAGCTATCCTGCAGTCATCTTGGCCCTCCTTTTTTAATAGAAAATTCTTCTTAAAGTCTGCTGATACCGCTCGGGCCATTATTTTATAACTTCTTTTTAAATCAAGAGTAATTTTTAGAGTCCATATTTGTGTCCACACACAACATCAAGCCAGAGAAAGGAGAGTGGTGAGGAGAAATTTGTTTTCAAGTTGCCAATCAATAAACAGCTCCAGCTAAAGAAACTATGCAGAAAATAAATTTTAAAAATACACCATAAAAATAATGTATACAGTTAGAAAGGATATCTTACTAGAGATACTAGTTCCATACCTCCTAATGGCTGGTGAGTACCAACAATTAAAAGTCAACAGTGTCAACCATTTGGCGCATTTGTTGGCCTAACCTGTTTTATTTATACAATGTGTCTAGGCTAGACATCATTTCACTGCTTTCACAAAGTGCAGCTTGGGCTTGATGAAAGAAAACCTACAGTGGTGACAGAAACAACCTGAAAAGTTGCAGAAGTGAAATACTCACTAGGTTGCATACAGGAATACCTTAAGCATGCAGAAATACCTTATTGTGTGCTGTCCCGCTCTGGACCTAAAATGGCTGTTTTGCAGGGAATGTTGTTGCCTGGTGACCAAAAGTGCATCTCCTAGGCCACAGAGGGATGTGAACATTCAGAAATTGATTTGTTCCTGTTGCTCTTGAGGAGACCATACCCGTAAAATAGATTAAGCTAGCACATAATCATCTATGCATTCTCCTTGCTGGCATGCTTCAACTTGATACTGAAGGCAGGCCTGTGATTTTGAGCTACTTATCAACCAGGCAAGGAAAAAACAGAATAATACCTCCTGCACTACTGCCCACAAAATATGAAATAGACCAAGCCTGAGCTACTGTGAGACTGCAAGACACCCTGCTTCAATTAAGTCTGTGTTGTACATCTAGCCTGTTCCGGTGCAACCTCCCAGTTGCTATCAGGCTCTCTTTCTTTCATTAGAATCAAGTAGTTAATTAGCCCCAGCCTGTCCTCTCTCCTTCTCTCTTTCCCTTTAACGCAGCAGTAATGATGTCTAATTACCAGCAGCAGTGGATTACAGCACCATCAGGAGCAAATCTCTCTGGCTGACAGCAAAGCTGAGCAGCAAATCTTAAAGCTTCAAGGAGAGAGCAATTCCTAACAAAGTATTTGAATATTTGCTTATTTTTGACCAGCTTGTATCTGTAGAGTCCAACTTGTAATTTCATCCGTCCAGTTACTGAACAAGGAGTGCTCATGTAGTGATTAATTTTAAATTGAAATTAATTTTACCTATGGTGAGATCAAGTGATGGACAAAAAGAGGGAGAGAATGAAGGAGAGATTCACAGTTTGGGGCTCTGCTACCTTTTGGAGCTGTCTCTGAGGACTGGACAGGCCCAAATGTATGGGATAACCATGAGAGAGGGGAGGAAAAACCAAAAATTATCACAAAATTTAAAACTCTTAAATGATAATTAAGAGTTAAAGAAATGAGAGAATGGCTTTTAAGGTTTACCAACAATTACTGTCTGATGAAAATCCAATCTTTTCTCCCCTGTAACTTATCATTCCCATCTGGGTGAAATTCTAGACCTCTTGAAGTCAATAGGAGCTTTGCCACTGACTTTCTCTGCACCAGGAGCTGCATCCCTGTTCTGTTAAACATGTTCTATCTGAGCCTTCAGTGCCCTGGCAGTAGCTCATACAAACCACTGCCACCCTGTGGGTCTGTTTAAATACTCCTCTTCCTTTTGTGGTGGGATAGTGACACCAGATTCATGGATTTAGGAGGGGCTGGCATTTGTTTTTCAGAGCTGAATGTTGCCGAGCATCCCCTTTTCCCATTTATGCTGGACAACAAATTTCTGATGGCCAGCAAGAGGAAATTGGACGTACATAAAGGACCTCTTCTGAAAAGGTTTATATGTCAGGTTATATACAGATATTCAGGAATTGCTTACAGATAGGTCATGCTAACTTCTCCTTTCTTTATTTCATTAGTAGTCCTAATTTTATTAGAACTCCTGCTTGGTTGCTAAACGATATGAAAAGATTTACTCCAATATAAATATAAATACATATATAGGACATACAGAAACATTCACAGCTAAGGCTGTGATTCTCACAAATGTACATAAGGTAAGACCTGCAAGATGCTCGACCTCTCACTGAAATCCCTTGTGGGGAAAAAAATAAAAATAAAAATTGATTCTTTGTTCTTAAAATAGAAAACAGGATGGAAGGTGGGACTTCTGGCTTTCATGGCCTAGCAAAGGTGAGAGAAAATAAACAAGCTTATCATCACTGAGTCTTGTGTTTCAGAGAACCAGAAAAGCACTTAATTTTTAAATTCCATTGTGTAAAATTAAGGTTATCCTCTTTATTTAGTAGGGTAGTCAATGTCATTTTTAAAAATATTGAATTTGCTTACAGTTTTGAACTCATAGTGAAAATAACAGTCTTGGGAATAAACAATCTTGCCCACTGGTCCTTCAAAATAATTATTTCAGTGAGCAGAAGAGATATTTAAAAATACTAAGCTAGTTGGAGACTTCTGCTCTAGGCAACCTTTTTGCTATAAATTGTATCTATGGTACTGTCTGGGCTCGGAGATGAGCAATCAATCTTGTAACACTAAAACAGAGATCTGCCAAATCATCTGAATCTATAGACAGACCTGAAACCCTTCAGTGAATAAAAATCATAGAGAAAGAAAAAACTGTCCAGAGCTTCTCTTTTACTTTAAATCTTCATATTGAAGATCTCCTTTAAATTGATTTCCCACTTCTGCCTCCTCACAGCCATGACGGTGCTGATGACAAGGGGGCAAATACAAGCCAGCCCCTGGGAATGCCCAGGTTTATGACTTCAGCAAGGCAAAGAGAGGCAGATTTCCCCGGCAGCCTACGTCACAACCCAACCCAGAATACTTTCCAAGAAGCCCCCTTTGCTGCGCCACCCAGAACCTTCCCGTTAGGTCCGGATAAGCTGCCACTCCAGGAGAAAAAGGGGCGAAAAAAGAGAATATTGCTCATCCAAGCCAAATGCCCAGGCAGGAATATTTTTAATTGCCGGGTTTCCTTTCTCGGCTCCCCCTCCACACCCGCCCCACGCACAGACAAAAGAAGCTTAGCTTGCGTGACCCAGCACATAAGAAGCAAGAAAGTAAGAATAATGATACATTAAGAGAGTTCAACGGGCAAAACCTACTTGCAACCAACAGTCCCCATCTTCTTAAATAGGAAAATCTGTCGCTCCTGCCACCACCAAGCATAATAGCTCTCCCGCTGTCAAACCTGCGCCGAGCCCGTAATGCCAGCGCCTGCCGGGGATTCCACGCTACCCTACTGCATCGAATGGAGTGCTGAGGGGCTTCTGCGACCCCAGAAAGTGTCACAAAATACACCCTTCCCTCGGTCATGCGGAACCCCGTCCTCCCTTTGTTGAGCATCCTCTCTCTCCCGCCGCCCCTACTAGCGCAGCCGGCGCTTCACAGCCAAGCCGGGCACATTCGTGGCCGCTCGGCGGCGGCGCCGGGGCTGCGGGACAACAATAAAGAAAAAAGGATAAAAATAATACCAATAAAAATAAATAAATAAACAAATAAACCCCAGCAGCGATCCCGGGGAACCACCGCCCGGCGCCGCGCCTGGCTTTGTGCCAGGCAGGGTACCCCCGTGCGCCATCCATCAGCCCCGCCGGCGGCGGGGGCCGCTGCCCGGGGCGGCGGGGCCCGGCACAATGGCCGGAGCGGCGGGACAATAGCACACCCCAAGCCCGCCGCAGCGGCCCGGTGGGGACGGGGGGAACGAGGAGGACGAGGAGGACGAGGAGGAGAACGACACCGACCCGGCGGGGTGCGTTGTGCGCACGATCGCTTTAAATAAAAGGACCCACAAAGACCTCGGCGGTGTATAATGTGACAGGCAAACGCAACATGGTGATGATGACTTGGGGGAAGAGGGAGGAAGGAGCCAACTGTGGCTGCGGCTCCCCCTGCGCCTCTCGCTCCCGGAGCGGGCTGCAGCGGCCGACATAGAACAAGGAAGACAATTCTCTACTAACCGTGGTTTTGACTGGCACGTACAGCACTTGCTTCCCTCCTCCAGCACCACCACTGACCTCGTCCGAGTTGCCGAGCTGGAAGCCTTTAGATTTGACCCAGAATTTGAATTTGGCATTATCCGTGGAGCTCGACTCGGAGCCGTTCAGGAGCTGGACGATCCGGTCGTATTTTTTACGGGTCACCGTCTTGGTTTTTCCTGAGTCCCCGTAAGTCCTGAGACACCAGTCCTGAAACTGGCGGTACATGTCCCGGTCGCTGCTCTCCATAATCTCCTAATACACACACGCACACATGCACACGCCGGGGCGCACACACACACACACGGACACGCACACAGACACGGGCAGACACACGGACACGCACACGCCGCCCCGAAGCGGGCCGGGGTACGGGGCCGGGCCGCCCCGCCGCACTTTGCACCTGTTCACCCAGCGCTCATGAAAAATGCATCCACCTCCGAGCCGGAGCGAAGGAGGTCCCGGTGCAGGCAGATCCCAGCGGTCTTTTTTTTTTTTTTTTTTTTTTTTTTTTTTTTTTTTTTTTTGTGGTGGTGGTGGCTCGGGGGGGTGGGGGTCGGGAGGGGGATGGGTAGGGGGGGCAGCAATCAATTCAATAGTGTGGCAATGTTGTCCTTTTTTTTTTTTTTCACAGGAGGCAAAACGGATCCGATGGAGGTTCCTCTTATCCTTCCCCTGTACGTGATCAGTCTCTTTAATAATTGTGCAAGGCAGGACTATCCCACTGGCTCCAGCAGCGTCTTACCCGGAGAGGGTTCGGGTGGATAAATAATTAAAATCCTATTCCTCGGCTTAGCGAAGAGAAAAGAAAATATTGACCCGGATCCTTCTTCTTTTCCATACATCAACTGCACCCGGATTCACCCTGGAACCCTGGATAGTGCAGGTGAAGGAGTGGAAAAAAAAAAAAAAAAAAAAAGAACGGAAAGAAGAGAAAAAGCCCACCCTAGTCCGCCCCGGCAGCCCTCGGCTGTTTTCTCTGAAGGCTTTCTGAGCTTTCTGTCTCTGTCCTGGCGGGCTGTGTCTCTCCCCAAAGCCGCCGCGCCGCGCAGGATGGAAGAAGCACTGAAGGGCACACTGGTCTCTTTGCTCCCCCTTTATTCCAAGGCTGGGTGGCTTTGCTTCAGATATCCCCGCTCCGGGCATGAAGGTACTGGAAAGAAAGAAAGTTCTTACCTGCTATTTTCTAAGCCTAACGCATCCAATCCGCGTTTTAAGTACATAATTTTTAATTTTTAAAAAATGGTCTGTGAGAATTTCACTTCCTCATATTGAGTCCCATTGAATTTTCATATGCCCTTTCAGGAATTTTCCTCTGTTTATTTATATAGAGATCCCAGTCGATGAAAGGAAAAAAAAAAAAAAGAAAGAAAGAAAGAAAGAAAGAAAACCCATATATATGAGATAGGCTTGGATATTGGACCAGAGGAGAGATCAGTCCCAGGAGGATGTTGGTACAGGAAAGGAGGCGGCTCTCGTTGCTCTGCCAGTGTAATGATGGTGCTCACACATGTAGGACTCCTCGGGTGCGCGGTATCCTTTGGTCTCTGAGCTAAACTGGCTACAAGGCATTCAAGTAAGTTTGCGTGCGGATGCTAAGCATAAACCCCCGGTTTTTAAAGGGGAGATAAGAAGAAAAAAAATCCTGATTTTTTTTTCCCCCTCCCTTTGCCACAGCTTCAGTTCACGCCGGAGATCTCCACGCTCCCCCCGGTCTCCCCCGCCGTGTCAAGCAGGACACCCCCTCCGCGGGGGGGGAAGGCTCCGCTGCGGCGCTTCCTCTCGTCGCCTCTCCGCGGCCGCGCCCGCCCGCGCCATCCAGCGCCCGGCTCCGCGCCCCCGCTCCGCAGCCGTGCGGCACCTCCGCTGCTGGGGCGCGACTCCGGCCCGCGCCCGGCCGCGGGATGCGCGCCGGGGCCGCCGGTGCGCTCCGCTCCGCTCGGCCGCGCCGCTCCGCGCTGCGCTCCGCGCCGGGCTGGCGGCGGCGGCGGCGGCGCACCGGGCCGGGCCCAGCGCCGCTCCGCGCCCCCCCCGCGCCCTGATTGGCCGCCGGGACAAAAGTTTCTGTGGCGACGGCGGCGCGGCGCGGTGACGGGCAGCGCTGTCCCATGTCGGGATGCTCCCGCCTCCGCGGGCGCGGCGGGGCGCGGGGGACGGCGCGCACCCGGCCCGGGCCCACGGGGGGTGGGGGGGATGCGGCGGGGGAAGGAGAGGCGAGGGCAGCGTTTCCATGGCGATGTCTCCGGGCGCAGCCCCCCCGCCTCCCCGCGCGCAGACGGAGCGAGGGGATCAGCTGACACCTCATTAGCTGAGGACCTAATTATTGCTTATTGGAGCAAGAAACGCGCGCAGGGCCGTGGCGGAGGGCCGTCGGCCTCCGCGCCCCCGGCGGACATCCCCTCCGCCGCCTCGCCCGCGCTGCCGGCGGAGCGGAGGAAGAGCCGGCGGTACCGCGCACTTTGCGCCGCACCGGCCGGCGGGGCCGCGGCGGGCCCGGTGGGATCCCTGCGGGACACGTGGCCGCCGCTGGGCTGGGCTTTCGCTGGGAAGCGGAGAGCGAAGCCCCTCCGCCGCCACCCCGCGGCCCGGCCCCCGCCCGGCGGAGCCGAGGGACCGCGCTCCCGCAGGCCGCCCCGCTCCGGCGCTCCACGCATCTCCCGTCGCCTCCGGGACCGTCCGCGCAAGCGGCTCCGGGGAGCGCAGCCGCGCGTTCGGCCCCGCGGGCGGGCGGGGGCCCGGCCGGCCGTGCCCGCGGCATCGCACCCCGCGCTGCGGCGGGCAGAGCTGCAGCCGCCCCGGCCTCGGCGCTCCTTGGGCGGGAGGGGAGCCCAAAATCCACCGCAACCCAAACACGTGCCGTTTTCGGCTCAGGTCGCTGAAATGAAGAGGGCTACGGGGATCCTGTGCTGTGCCTCGGGTTTCTTCTGCAGAAATTCCTCCTGTGTCTGGGTATCCAGTCACTCAGGGCCTGGAAGGGCCCAGTGGAAAGGCAGCTGTGTGCTTTTACTGCCCAGATCTAGGCAGTAGCAAACACCTTAGTCCACTCTCTTGTGTCCTGCAGAAAAAGGCTTCCATGGGCTGTCGTGCTGTTTACACCGAGCCTGGATTTCTAGTGCAAAAGCCAAAAGTGTTAAGAGAACCAGGAGAAGCCCTTCCTCAGGCACCCAGCCAGGACATGCTGGTCCATTGGGCTGACCCTGTGCATGGGCACCTTAACCTGGCCTCCATCTCCCCAGCTCACATATACCTGTCCTCTCCTCTCTTGCCTTCTTCCCCTCTTCCCCCAGTCGTATGTTTGCTTTTCTGCTTTCTGTCTGGAAACACCACCTCAGACGCAGGCAAACCTGGGACAAGACTGTTGTTTAAAAGGAGCGCTCCGAAGGATGTTTGTGTGGCCAAAACCTCTCCTGTCATCTGTAAAATCTGAGAGAACAAGTTGGCACAATGGGCAGGACTTGGAGATAACCCAAGGAGGCTTGAGACTTTGTGTTGGCCACAGGACCTGCAAATTATATTGGCAGCCCCATTTTAGTGTTAGAGGAGCATGGGACTCCCGTCCATCACAGGATCTAGAGGCAAGGCAATAACAAAGGAACTGCTGTGCAGAAGGGGAGCAAGGGGAGCCTCGCTGAACTCTTACCCAGCAGGCTTTATGAGATGTAATATTGCTTTAATGTGCCATTAGATCTACATTTAGAAAAAGGGTCGTAACATGGATTGGGCTGCACTGCTAAACAATTCTGTCAGATAATTGTTCTCAACCCAGCCTCCTGCTGAGGGTCTCAGTAACTTCCGTATCACACTGATACTGTGCTATGACTGAATCCAAAGTACACACACAAAGCAAAGGGGATAAAGGAAGATGTGACAGAGCCAGGAGTGACAATCCAGACAGTTATAGCATAGATGAGTAAAATGCTTGAAATAAGCAGGCATGGTTTAGTAGATAAAAAAATAATTCCATATCCAGGAGTATCACTTTGAATCCTGTAAAGAGCCCTGTGCCTTCTCAGCAGAGACACATTCTTAAATTCAGTCGACTTTGGACCATGACTTAAAAACGCCGGAAATATTATTTATTTTTTCAAACTGTTTTGAGGCAGGAGAGAGAATCATATACTTTCAGAATGGTTTGGAAGGAATCATATTATCTTAACTAGATGATCTTAATGGTCATCTGCCATGGCAGGGACACCTTCCACTAGACCAAGTTACTCAAAATTTCATCCAACCTGGCCTTGAACACCTCCAGATAACACTCTGGGAAATCTTCTCAAGTGCATCACCACCTTTACAGAACAGAATTTCCTTCTAATATCTAATCTAAATCTTCAGCTTAAGGTTATTCTCCCTTGTCCTACCACTACAGGCCCTCATGAAATAAACATGGGTGAAACCCACCTGAGGTGTGAAGTGGGGATGGAGAGTAGAAACTCGAGTAATATTAAATGCAGAAGGATTTCTTTCTCTGTTTTACAGTTAGGATTTTTGATTTGTGTTCATGGAAGATATGGATGTTTCATGACTGCCTCCAGTCATAAAACTTGGCCAGAAGTCCTAGGAGCATCCTGGAACCCCACCCACCCTGCCAGACAATGGATGAGCACACAGGACACAAACGTTATGCTTATCATAAAGAATTGGTGATCTAAAGAAGGTCAATTACATGGTACATGGCTTCACTTTCATATAAATATACATTGTAGAGTGTATTTACATAACCTATACTCATTACATATATATAATGTGTGTGTGTATAGTAACTTCAGCAGAATTTATATGGTGAATTTAGAATGCAAGTTTTTAATCTCCCATTTTGAGATCATCTGATACTCTGAAAGCAGTACTATGACATTATATTTAAATAAGAAAAACTACATGGGGTTAAGTTCACTGTCTGGTTTGTGCTGGGTTTTTGTTTCAGAATTACCAGAGTTTATTAACACAGTCTGGAATCTCCTTGCAATAAAAAGGGCTTGCACAGACTCTCCTCTTGTCAAGAGTTCCAATGACAACCTGTTACTCAGCTGGAATTGAAACTCTTGTGGCATCCTTGAGTAGAGGGACTGTGTTGGTCCTTCAATGCTATGGACTGAGGCTGTTCTGTGCTCTGCATTTTCAGAACTCACTTGCCTCTGCCAGAAAATGAAAGTTTCTCTCCTCTGGTGTGGAGACACCACGTCCGCGCCTTGCTGGCTTGATTGCTCTGCAGCCAGCCTGAAACAATACACCACTAACAGATGTGTGAACGTTTCCATTCAGTGGAATGAAGTGTTAGTTGCAAAACAGAGTTTTGGCTATTTGAATTGCCTCATGTGCATCAAGCTGTGAAAGAGGTTTAAAGTAAATCATGAATATCATAAATACTGTATTTTTTGAATTATCAGCTCTAACAAGTCCACTGGCAATAGAAAGTGAAGACAGGCAGAATGGGGCCTGATGTCATTGGAGTTACCAGGGCTTCTCAATGAAATTACAATCTTGCAGTGACATGGAACTGAGTCCATGGAGAAAGCTGGGATACATTTTCAAGTTTTTTAAACTTGCTGAAAAATAGAGAGTAGGTTTTTGGCTTAAATTTGTCTCTGACTTCTGCCAAAGAGGAGTGTTTGGAAAACATTCACCATATTTCAGCACAGT